CAGAACATGAAGACCCAGGAGGCTCCATGATGGACAGAACATGAAGAAGACCCAGGAGGCTCCATGATGGACAGAACATGAAGACCCAGGAGGCTCCATGATGGACAGAACATAAAGATCCAGGAGGCTCCATAATGGACAGAACATGAAGACACAGGAGGCTCCATGATGGACAGAACATGAAGAAGACCCAGGAGGCACCATGATGGACAGAACATGAAGATCCAGGAGGCTCCATGATGGACAGAACATGAAGAAGACCCAGGAGGCACCATGATGGACAGAACATGAAGAAGACCCAGTCGTCTTGGAGCGGTCATCTCCAACAACACTTCTGTCAGCCCGTTTCTTTGTGTCATCATTACAGATTTTATGGTCGTGTTTGGTTCAAGTTGTTGGTCTTCGTGACTGGACGGCTCGTTACAACATCTGGGGAGAACTTCCTGTCAGAAGCACCTTTAGAAATAGATGTAGTTAGTAAGTGTTTCACCTGCTGCACCTGTCCACTCATGAGCAATAACCAGATGAAACAAAGTTCAAACCACTGAATGTCCCACAGTGACAAGTTTGAAGGGGATTCCTGCGTCTGATTTGACTTTTATTAAACAAATAACTGGACACACCTGTTCAGGTATTTGAACACACCTGCTGTTTGCATCGTCAGGTTGAAGGTTTTATAGAACGTCCTGTGTGTCGCTGCGTTCACTGACGGAGGCTTTGATCTCAGTCTGAGCAGAGAAGCTGACCGTTGACGGTGAGAACCTCACCTGAGACATTCTCCTCCAGTGGGCCAGCTCCGCCTCCAGGCGCAGGACTTCCGTGGACAGTCGGTTGATTTCCTGCTGCGACCAAAGAACGTCGCTGATGTCGATTTCGTCGCCGTGATAGCCCCGATGAGATGCTGAGGACCGGGTCAGGAAGGTGGAGGGCGAGGAGGAGGTGGAGGTCAGGGAAGCAGTGGTGACGGGCAGAACTGCAGCAGAACCAGAGGTGGACTGGGCCGACTGCTGCAGCTTCTGCACCTCTTCTTGGAGTCCGCTCTCCCGAGCTTTGAGGTGACTGATTTCCACCTGGAGGACAAAATAAACCTGTAACGTTTACCTGAACCCCCCCCCCGGTCTACAGAGACGTCTGCTGGGTCAAAGTGTGACGATGAACGTACGTCTCTCTGGTGCAGCAGAGTCCTGTAGTCTGCAGACTGCTGCTTGATCTGGATCTCCGAGGCCTCCAGCTTCTCCTCCAGCTCTGCATGAAGCCTTTTCAACCTGTCACACTGCAACAAACACACCGTCACATGCAAGAAAAACTCTGTGCTGTCCTACAGACTCATGTGTGAGGTCATGGCGGTGGGAGGAGCCAATCTACCTGAAGGAAGGTTACAACAACCCGTCGTCTTATTGTCCTTTAATAAGCCAAACAGTTTTTATTAGTCAGAGTTGTGACATCAGTCAGAGCACGGAGGATGGAAGAAGGTAAAAGTGTTGAGCCGAACAAACTGAACAGATGTTGGAGAAGAGCCCGCTCATCGTCTGACAGAAGACAGACGAACAGAACCAACGTTTCATGGAGCACTTTACAGGGTTTAGCAAAGCTTTCATTTATTTTGTGCTACATTTAAGAGCCAGACGTCAATAAAGTTGCATAAAACTGAAAAGCAGCATCTTCTCCAGAGGATATTTTTTATAGAGAGAACAGAAATACAGAACATGTGATTTATAAAACTGTAGGAACTTCATTCACAGATGTTGGTCCTTCAGTACAAGGCTTTTATTAAATATTGAGCAGCTGTGTCCGACATAATTTAAAGAAATAAACTGTTCCTTTAAGTCAGACCTGTCAGACGAGGTCGACTTTCATTTACCCTCAGTCTTTTCTGTTAATCGTTAAAGTTATTACGAGCATCACTGCAGGAAACACCAAGAACATCTGGTTTGACTAAAGATACATTCACACACCCCCCCACCCCCGACTTCATTTAACATCTGTTAACAGACAACCTTCCAGGTTTCTATACAATCCGGGTTTCTGTACAATCCGGGTTTCTATACAATCCGGGTTTCTATACAATCCGGGTT